TGTCTTTTTAGTTTTACTATTGTTCATAACCCGAATTGAAACTGAACCAAATCCGGGTGATAAAAAGCTGAAAATAAACCGGCAACACCTGGCCAGACGAAGTAAACCGGTTTAACTTGGTCCGACTCAGATTCTCCTGCTGTATCTGTGTCTCCTACTGATTTACATCAGAAACCTGAGTTTACCACAATAACAATCCAAAATCTTCCCCGGCTTTGATTCACAGACAATGTCATTTCATTTTTATTCCGCTTCGAGTTCAGCTGCAAACTGATCTAACCGTTCGGATTCCAAGTCAGGATCTCGTACCGCGGCGTGGTTCACTAAGCCATCATCAAGACTCGCGTGTATCTGTCTCTTTGCATACCTGCAATCACCCAGAAACAGAACAACCCATCATATTAAGTATCAACGACCGTGCATTGCGATAATCAGATGTAACACCAGCTCTAGTAATGGCAATTAAGAGAGTATGTACCATCGACCGTGCATTGCATCTATACATTTCTGTGCATCTTTTCGATCCTTGAATCTTATAAGAACAACACCCTGTGGATGTTGCTCACAGACCTGTAAAAGAAGAAAATTGATTAACCCTCCAAAATAATCTCAACTCTCAACAAAGCTATATGCATTAGAATTACAAGCTTAAGAAAAAGAGATTGATTTGGTGACAACATATTACCTTCACTGAGTCAAACGGTCCATGCTTCAAGCTCTCTTCTTTCACGTCTTCCTCTACCTCAGCACACAGATTCTCATCAGCCTGCAAACAGTCAAAAGATATATCAGGTACCTAAAACTGGCAACATTTATCATAATAACACTGGACAAAGACCCTACCCTCATCTCAGCTGGACTGAACATGTAGCGCAGAACAACCGTTGCAGGTATCGAGACCTTAGCATCATCTCTACCACCTATGCCAAGAAAAAAGAGAAAATGCGATCCCAATAAATATGCTAAAAATTAACTAGGGAAAACTCCAACTTCAACAACTAAAATACCCACTTCTTTATGAATCAGAAATCAGACAAGACATACAAACAGATTATCTCTGTAATCCCTAGATCGACCTTCTAGACGCGCCCTTTGTTTTGATAGTCATTGATTTGTTTTCTTTCGAAATTGATTAGGTTAGAGGTTTCTAGTTCAGTCTTTTTGCTAAGCACAGTTATGTTTAGAGAGTTCCACAAAGACTCTGGTAAAGCATAGAGAAATTATAACTTTGAAAACTTACCCCATCCGAGCAACTTTTGCTCTACCTTTTTAAGCTTCTTTTTCTTCTTGTTGTCGGTTTGTTTAGATATAAATCTCTCCCCTGAATGAAAAAGTAAAAGCTAATTAGAATCATAACAAAATAACCAAAGCCATGGATGGGGAAAACTTATTTTCTACTCCATAAACGAGTATGATGTGAAACAACTAACGTGCAACAGTATTCACCTTTCTGCTCAAACTTAGCTCGAGAAACTGACATGAGGAGCTTGTCAGCGGGACGTAAAGGAGCCCCATCTAAGATTTGAATCGCCAGATCCACTGAGGGCTCCTAATGAAAACAAAGATAGATACACATGATTAGACAACAGAGACAAATTTTAACAATCAGAACATTATACAACCAGAAGAACTTCAGGTGTCGTTTTTACCTTCATATACGTGATCAGAGCATCACCTTTTAATTGTCCTGTCGCCTTATCACTGTAAAGCTTTATGCGAGGTTTGCCAGTGTCATCCTGCGATGTTCATCAGATCCGTTGTTAGGGGAAACTTACACAAGACTACTCAATCACAGGAAAAAATCACAAGATAGTAAAATTTACCTCCTTAATTATGCCACATTTAGAAAAAACTTCAACTACCTGTAAATATATCACTACTATCAGTCCATTTTAAAGCTTTAAGATATATATATAACAATAATAGATAAAGCAATGACCACAACTTACTTCCTCGAGGGTGACATCAGTAGGCAACCCAGTAACATAGATATGAGGGTTTACTTTTAACTCAAACCACGAATCTGGAGGCTTGTTTGCTTCCTGAAAATTAATTTTGGAAATTAGAAACGTTGAACAGAAACTTTCATGAGGAATTGCAACTTTATTTATTTGTTAAAGCAACACAAACAACCATTATTAGTAATTACAAAAAAATGAAAGTAGAAGTATCATGCTAGTCCTAACATAAGTATGATGTCATAGAACCAGAATCACTTTGGTTTCTTTCCTCTGTACTAGTTACATATTGGTGAAAAGGTAAAGACCCACTAAAATTCAGCAGATGAAGATAAATCAATACTCTTTAATCAAGAAATCAAGATCTTACTGCTCAAGAACAAGAAGAGTGAGAAAAACATGCTTTGGTGAGAAATCGTGAAGTAGCAAGCATGGCCTTAAGCGAGAGAAATGATAATTAACAAAACAGAAATGAAGGGAAAAGCAAAACCTTTT